CGCTGATTTTTGACAAATGATAACTGAGAAATTGATAAGAAGAATTTGGATTCCTTGTGAGTTATTTCGCCCTTGTCTGCCATATTTTTGAGCAATGCTGTTATATCCTCATAGATTTTTTTTGGCGGAATGGATGGTAATTTATTAAAAAGCTGTTCGCATTTAATTTTTGCTTCAATTTCTTGATATAATCGTCTACATTCATCCAACATGGTAATATTATTATTTCTTTTTAGTTTTTCTAATGCTTTGCTCTATATACGGTTTTCATTTTATATATTTTTACGACTATTTCTTGTGTCTCTTTCTTGCCTGTTGTCGACTGATGAAGGTGTAGAAAACACTGAAACGTTTGGTAACAAAATAGAAATAAGCTAATATGTGTCTTGACGAAACTTAACTAATTATATGTACGGGAAGTCTTTAGAAGAAAGCTTCTTTTGTTCGAAATAGAAATTAATTCGTCCTTTTACTCAGAATTCCGATATGGCAACATTCAATAACTTCAGCCTAATAAGGCTAATACCGTCTGTGTAAAACGGTACAATGGCAACACAAATCACTCCGATTCTTCAGCAGAATTATGTCTGACAATTATGAGAGGTTAGGCTTCTACTTACATTTTTGATTATGGTGTGAGAGGAATCTTGAGTGGATAATAACACAGTTTTTGTCAATATGGACAGTTGATGTTTGTACATGGATGAAACTGTCTTTTAGTTCAGCAATTTGTTTATCAACATTTCGAAGTGTTTCTTTCATTTCTTCAATTGCATCATGTGTGACATCATCATCACGAATGAATTTCTTGATATTTTCTTCGAGACTTCTGATCACTTTCTCTTTCTCATTCTTGATTTCAATAAAATTATCGTTCACTAACACGTCTATTTCATGTTTTTTAAGTTGATAAAGTTGCTCAATCAGTTGACAACTGCCATTTCTCCATTCGTCCAATAAGGCATAAGACTGTTGAGTTATATACGACGAACTTAAAGCGCTGAGTTTGGTAGCGAGTTCATTGATTTGATCAGTAAGTGGATAAAGTTCATCGTTTAGTGAGTCGGCATGTTCATTAAAATGTTTTTTACAAACATCTTTGTGACAATGATGGCATAGTGTGGCTGCTCTTCGCTTACATTCATCAATTTCACATAGTTTTACAGAAGTCATTAGAATGTTTTGTTCGTTGTAAAAAGTAAAGCTTCTTATCTTGAATGCATCCGATGGTGTACAAGAAAACTAAAATAAATGAAATATTTATAGCTACGCTTATGAAAAAAATAGAACTTGAAATGAGATAGAAAAAGATATGCTTCTTCCATGCGTCACCCAAACGTGAATATATAGCTGATTGAATAAAAGAGAGATCATTTTCCGTCATCGGATAAAAACTGAGTGTGAGTGATATAATCTATATGTTTAAGATTGATCAAATCAAAAGTAATTAAAAGAAACTTCGCCAGTCGATCGACTATCTTGCCAAAGACCGGTCACGAGCGAAAAGTTGACGTATATTTTTTATTTTATATTCGGATTCTA